ACACCGATGCGATTTTAGCTTCGAACATAATTTGGTTTTATGTCTCACCAATACCATATTACGGTCACTTTAAGATACATACGTGATAATTTATTAACAGATAAAATTGTTGTTTACAAAACTATACCTTTCACTGTTTATTGTAACATTATGATGGTTGTAACCATATTGTAACCTTTAATCTTCATAATCAGGAAAATATAGCAAATAATCGGCTTATTTTGATAAGTTTACTGATCTTTACTGCTTATTGTAACATTATGATGTCTGTACCCATATTGTAAACTTTTACCTTTGATTCAAAATTCATAATCAGGAAAATATAGCAAATAATCGGGTTATTTTGATACGTTAACTGGTCTATAGATTAATATACATATGTTGGTCATTTACATTGGTCATGATCATAAACATTAGATAATAAACCTTGTCGGTACAGGGTATGGTGCATATCTATACCATATTTGGAATTTAGCTGTCATCTGTCTAGGGGGTCACGGTGGCTATGTGGGTAAGACGCTGGCTCACTAGCCTGGAGATTGGGTGTTTGATGGCTCAGATTTTCCGGCGTGGTTCCCGCCATTGTCAGTGATGCAGGACGGAGGGCTTGACAAGGACAGCTATCTAATCGTTCGGATGGGAAGAAAAACCGAGGTCTCGTGTACACATTGGAGTGCACGTAAAAATATCTCTTGGCAGTTGGAATACGATATAAGAGTAGGTCGTAGTGCCGCTGTCCGGGCAAAATTTCCCTCATAGCAGACTGTATGGCGTCTTCATTAGCCCACTTCAGTGCAGAATAGTAGGACGTTAAACCGCATTTAATTTCATTTCGTTATCAGTCTATGGCGTATAAGCAATTAAGGATGTTGGCACCTACAACAGAACGAAGCCAGGGATCGAACAACCGGCCTCCAGGCTAGCGAGCCAACGTCTTACTGGCTCTCTATAAAACAACCTTGGCTCTCTGGCAAATAACTTAAATCTCTTAAAATCGATTTTAAGGATTATAATTTAAGGTTTCGTGAATAAGGACTCTGTATATGTTAATCAGACTGTACTACTGCTCGGACTTCCGCAGAATCAGTCATAAGTTAACTCTATTTTTACGAGGTATATAAACAAAAAAAAACAAAAAAAAAAAATGAAATCCAAACTGACAAGGGTTCGTTTACATCACGCCAATTTCAACTATATTTTTAAACATACGAAATGAAATGAAATGAAATGAAATGGGGTTTAACGTCCTACTGTTTTTCTCTAAACTGGGCTAATGAAGACGGGCATATGCCATACAGTGTGCTATGAGGGAAATTTTGCCCGGGCAGCGGCGCTACGACCTACTCTTATATCGAATTCCAACTGCCAAGGGATCTTTTACGTGCACGCCAATTTGTACACGGGACCTTGGTTTTTTTGTCTCATCCGAACGACTAGACAGCTGTTCTTGTCAGGCCCTACGTCCTATATTACTGACAAGGGGAAACCACGCCGGAAAATCTGGATGAACTGAAATGAAATAAAATTGGGTTTAATGTCCTACTAGGCTAATGAAGACGACATAAACCATGCAGTGTGCTGTAAGAGGGATATTGCCCGGACAGCGGCACCACAGTCTACTCTTATTTCGAATTGCAACTGCCAAAAGTTTTTTTTTACGTGCGTGCCAATGTGTACACGGGACATCATTTTTTTCTTTCTACCCACCTTGTATTTACTGATCATTTGTTTTAGATGAAACAAGGAGCTGATATTAAAATGTAAAACAGATAAAGCTGTTGGAGTTCTGTTTTCTAGGATTGTTGCTAATTCCAGCACTAATGTCGATAAATCAGATAAAATAGTTCAATTTAACTCTTGATTAAAGATACATTCCCGCGTACAAACTGGGTGATTTAATGGTGTTTATGGACTAAAAACATATTCAAACTAATTAATTTGTCATAATTTTGCTTCAAATCCTTCTCAAACATTGTAATTGCGAAGGATTGCCCTGCTATAAAAATTCGATCAAACCAGGTCATGTTTACGTCACGCGAGTTACCTCTCTTGGAAGTCAGAGGAGAATTCATTGCATACATAAGATGATGTTGTCTTTAATCGCTTACTATTTATTACAAATATCGAATCCTAATTAAATTCTCGGATTATCCACTACCCGCGTCTTTTTCCGTCATTTTTATCTCAGAAAGTGTTGTACGTCTAACTCTTCATAAAGTTTATCAACTTGTACATCAAGCGCTCAATGTTCGCGTGTGACCTTTGACATCACGCGTGCAGAAATTCCTAATCGTCGGGTTGTCGATTAGGGGAACCCTTACATTTTTGTCCTGTACACGCTCGGGGAATCCAGTATTTTTCTAGTAAGATTGGATATATCTACTTCCCATATATACCAAAATTGCCATACTTTTATTGGAAATAACCACCCGATAAATACTTTCCTGGGAACCCACCTTTAACGAGTGTCCAAATAATTGGTTAACGGTCACAATAACAAGATAGGTCTAGCTTGGGCGAGTCGATCTCCAGACTAAAGCTACAGAAGAATACAGAACATATATACCAGCTTACGATTAAAATAATTATATATACTCTTCAAAAAAAAGTAGGGGATATTCAGAAACAATACTCTCTCTCTCTCTCTCCCTCTCGCCCCCCCCCCTCTCTCTCTCTCTCTCTCTCTCTCTCTCTCTCATTTTAAACAATTATTTTAGACATTAGATATGAAGTGGGTTTAGATTTTTTTTAGTTTTTTTTGGTCTTTACATTATTTGACAAAGTAATAAATAATTTTGTTTGTTGTAATAAAGTTTAATTATATGTGAGCGTGTGTGTTCGTTAAAGCGATAATTTCATATTTTTAAGTTATATTTTTAAAATGTATTAAAATAAAGCCTTAAAATAGATGGTATCTATAAACAGTCCTACCTTGTTAAAGAATAATCATATTAATCCTATAATTCACTATAGCCAGTTGAGAAATTGGCAAAAATATCATGTTCACCTTCAAATTCAAACGTTTGAAGATAGCTATTCCATGAGGGGAATAGAAAAGGTAATTGTGTTATTATTTCCCGGGTGAATGATTTTTAAGTGTGAGAATAATAGTTAGTTGACAACCTATTGAGCAAAAGACATAGAAATGATTATGTTTTGACTTTCTTAGAAAATATGAAATTCTCGCTTTAATACATTGACTATGTTATCAAGTCAGAAGGACGTAGTTAAACCCCGTGGCCATTTCATTTCATTTCATTGTCATAAAGTAGATGCACGTGTTTTTGTTGTCGACTGTGCACGTGCATGCTAGTACTAAATCTACTACAGAGTGTCTGTTACAGTGGGATATTGTAAGTAAGGTAAATCTTTTATATGTGTCGCCTATTGATTATGGCGTCATCGTTTATACATATTTTATTAAAGTAATGCAACCAAGTCTATTCATCCAGACAACACAAATCAAATGAGGTTTAGATGACCTACATAAGGGTATATCGGAGTGGATATTTAAACGTATACGGCAAAGTATCTACTTCCGTTATTTTACCGTACACCGTTTAGGATTGGCTGGAATATAGTGACGTCATCAAGTGTCAGTTCCTGGATTATTTGACCGTACATGAGATGAATTTAACCGTATACGGCTATCTTAAAAATCAGCATTAATCCCAAAATTTGAAAATAAATTAAGAACACACTATTATAATTATTTTAATTTAATTTCCCATTTTGATGGATTAGAAAAATGGGTTAGGGTTAGGTTTAAGAATTTGGGGGAGAAGTTAAGTCTCCACATAAGCACTGACCTAGGATGATGAAAAGTTAGTTCGCGATATTTCCTAGTTTTATTAAAAATACATGCAATACATTAGATTAATTTATAAAAGTAATTTCACTGTTTTTGGTGTTGGCGGCGCTGATGGTCTTCCTTGGATGGTACTTCTGGTATTCTGGTATTTTTGTTTCTGAAGAAAAAAAAAGAATAAATTTGAGACTCTCGGGGGAGAGCCACATTAGTGTGTTTCCTACTACGAATTGGATTTTCTAAAAAATCGTGTTTGTTCCACATCCCCGGGTTAGGGCTAGGGAAACGATGTACGGTAAAATAGCGGAAGTAGATACTTTGCCGTATACGGTTAAATATCCACTTCCTATATTTTAAGCACTATATTTTATACAGAAATTAAATGACCGATATAAGGGTATATTTTATAAAGAAATTTTAATGAAACGAAATGAAATTTAACGCTATAAGGGTATATTTTATAAAGAAATTTTAATGAAAGGAAATGAAATTTAACGCCCCCTTTTGCTGCACACGCTGGACTAATGAAGGCGGGCATACGCCATGCACTGTGATAAGAGGGGATATTTTGCCCGGACAGACCCACACTGATCAGCAGTCAATATTCGCTAGGCCGCTACAATCACTGATAAGGATGACATCAATGCGACTTAAAGAGTCTCAAATATTAACTTTTTTCCACCGACAAATTAAATTCTAAAACATTTTTTTCATGTTTTAGAAGAATAAATAAAAACGTTTGACGTATTTGTAGGTAAAATTGTTTCCTATTTAGTGTAAATGGGTATTAAAATGACTAAAAGTCTGCATTATAGAAGACGAATCAGTAACGTCTTATGTAAACAATACACGCGCCATTCAACCAATGATTAACGCCGCGTGCTGTGACGGCACGTGTTGAAGGCAGTCATCTTTTACAGAAATATTAGTAATTCTCTGTGAAACAGATTGGGATAGACCTTCCGTCCTGCACCACTGTCACGAAAGAAAATCCCGATGAACTTTACCGGGCAATGCAGGGATCGAACACGGGACTAACATGTTACTAAATGTTCTAATGTAGTTCCCATATTGTTATATTTACTTCTACTCATATTCCCCGCAAAATCTAAATCCAGTACAAGTAATGTGAAATGAAGAGAAGACAACTCTAATTGACGGCATTCCATTAAAGTTGAACATTTTGTTTCAGGCAATACAATGGCCACAGAAAAACTAAAGGAATTTCGTACGACAGTGGATGATGAAGAAATGTTACGAGCGTATAATGCAAATTTTGAAGCTCATAAAGTTGGTATCACTACGCAGCAATCAGCTGAGTATTACACAAAATGGGCAAGAACCGGAGCCTATGACCAGGTAATACCATGTACATGATTTTAGAATGTGCATATCTTCTTTCAAGGACAATTTGAACAGCTAAGATAATAATCTTTAAGTGGCATTTAGCGATTGGGAAACATATTAACAGAACACAGTTTTTTTTTATGGGAAACAATCACTGGTTTGTTCTAAAAGCACAACGTTTCGACTAGTATCCCCTTTCATCAAGCATAAGAGGATACTTGTCGAAACGTCGTGCTTTTAGAATAAACCAGTGATTGTTTCCCATAAAAAACTGTGTAAGATAATGGTATGAATCCCTTTTTAACTCGGGGAAGTTTACAGTTAAGGTTATAGGAATATCTCGTAGATTGCAGATAATGCTGTAGGAATATCTCGTAGATTTCAGATAATGATGTAGGAATATCTGGTAGTTGTCAGCTAATGCTATACGAATATCTCGTAGATTTCAGATGAAGCTATACGAATATCTCGTAAGTTTTAGAAAAAGCTATACAAATATCTCGTAGGTTTTAGATAAAGCTATACGAATATCTCGTAGATTTCAGATAAAGCTGTAAGAATATCTCGTAGATTTCAGATAAAGCTATACGAATATCTTGTAGGTCTAGTAGATTTCATAAAAAAACTGTTATATTTTCAGGATATATTACAAGGTAAAATCTACACTGGACCCAAAGTAGCTGCTTCTGTCTTGGCTCAACATTTTCCCTCAAACAGAGATACTGTCAGTATATTGGATATAGCTGCAGGAACTGGCTATGTTGCAGAAGAGGTATGAACTTATATTTTGATAGAACAAGATCCCATGTTCCAATCCCGTTCAGCCGCTACGTCTTCATTAGCCCGGTTGATAACCCGGAGTTCGCGATCTTATATTTGATATGAATGTGATCAAAAAGGTAAACGTACATCAATTCGGGAAATCCCATCACATCCTTTGAACGAAAGTTAGACGCCAACCTTCTTCGGAATCAGATGATTGTGGTGGATTTTTTGTGGTTTATAAAGATTATAATCATCGGAGTATGTCCTATACCAGTAACATAGAATGGAATCAAAGTCAACGCGGTGAATGTTAGAATTTTTAACGGCTCCTAATGTCTGACTATACGTCCGTTGTGGAAGTGTTAATTATTGTCCTTTATTGATCTATTTGGCTTTTTCAGTTATAAACACAATTTAGGATTATACATACACAGGGTGAATATTCCTGTTCTTACTCCAGATGTTTATTGAGGTTATTTTCTTTTGAAAAAGTATCGATTGTTGTCTATTAACAAATCAAATAACATAATTTATTTTATTAAAGTGTTACAATAATGATTCTAATCAACATGATTTCGGTTATTAAATCACGGATTTAGGATTACAGCAATTTCGTTTTACTTTTCTTCACTATTCTAGGATCTGGAAGAGTTGTTATATAACATGCGATCTAGTTGATGTGAGGAATTGGCCAATGAAACTGTCTGTTACGGCGAGTTATTGGCGTGCTCTGCACGGAATTGTGGATAAACCCCTAGAAACGTCAACGCTTTTTGATTAATCAATGTCTGACGTCAGAGGGTCAAAAGGCCGCTGGTATGACCCCTGACGCGACCTCCCAGTACAACTGGTCAGATCTTCATGTAGTGTAGGCCATCGAAAGTATAATAAAACGCAACGAAATATAGATCTGTATTTTAATCAGGTTGGGATTACAGTTGCCCGGAAGGAATGTTACTGGTCTTACTCCAAATGTTTAATTGTAGTTACTTCCCTTTGTAGAAGTATAAACCAAACATTATTACTCTAATCATTTTGTTTTCAGTTATTAAAACATGGATTTAAGGTTATAGATGCGCTGGACCCATCAGAAGGGATGCTGGAAGTCGCTAGATCTAAAGGCCTGTATAGAAAATATATTTGTGAATTTTTTACTGAAGGCACACCAGGACTACAGGAAGGTACAATACAATACTTATATTATCTGGATTGTCTAGGCTCTTGGAACCGCGATGGCACAATGAGACAGGCGCTCGCTCACGGACATGAAAGTCCTGTTTTCCATCCAGATGCGGAGAAAGGTCCTCCGATTGGCAGAGCGGGATCTGGACAGTTTGACTTTAATTTTCAATTGCTATCCGATCACAATTTCCCTGATAGCACAATCCATTGCGTATGACTGGCGCCATTATCCCGGTGGGAACAGAAACGTTGGCCGTTAAAAACGTTGTATTATAAGGTCTGTCATTGAGTCAACTGGCGTGGTTTCGATTTAACGGCTAATTGTTATGTATTTTAAGGTGAATGACTGTAGTGTTATATCTGAGTTTTTAATAAATGACTGTTGTGATGTATTTTAGTTGAATGTGTAATATCTATTTATGGTCTATTTTTAGATGAATATGACTGCTGTGTTGTATCTGGTGGAATGGGTGAAGGTCATATACCTTGCTCAGGTCTCCGTGAAATGATTCGAGTTATTAAACCAGGTAGTCATTTATATTGTTTACTGGATACAGAACTTACCCACTGCACGGGAATTTACCATTCCTGAACTTACCATCGGACTTTACTCTTGCTGAACTTACCACTGCACGGGACTTTACTCTTCCTGAACTTACCACTGCATGGGAGAGAGAGAAATCGGTTTAACGTTCACTCGACACAAACTAGGTCATTTCGGGACTAACACATGGTTCAATTTTATTTCCATAATTCGCTTGCGAGTAGAGGTATTTAGCAGTGGGGGAGGAAACCGGATGACCCGGAGAAAAACCCACGAGATTGGACAGGCGACCCTACAACCGGGGAACCACTACATGGGACTTTACTCTTAAAGAACTTACCACTGCATGGACATTAATATTCACGAACTGCACTAGGGATTTATGCTCTGGTATACGTCATTATACAGAACTTACCACTGCACTAGGGGATTTACAGTCCGACATTTGTCACTGCACTCGGGATATAAGGTCCGCTACTTTCCACTGCACTCGGAATTTGCGGTCCGAAACTTAACACTGCGCTCGGGATTTCGGAACTTACCACTGCACTCGGGGATTGGCGCTTCCAGAACCTATCACTGCACGGGTATTTAGGATTACTGCAGAGGAGTTCCAACGTTAAAACACCGTTTTTCCCTACCAGCAACGAACGTTATACAACCACCAATAATATGATAAGACACTTATAAAATAAAATAAAATGTTCCAATTAATTTCTAAGATTGTTGTTTGATGCTATAGACCAGAATAGAGTAATAACTGAATAGAATATTAATGTATTTTCTATATAATACTATTGTGTTTATTGTAATGAATACACAGGACTACACAGGGGGATGGTTAACGCGTGCGCGTTGTATCATAAGGTCTGTCTTTTAGTCAACTGGCGGGGTTTCGATTCCCCGGTTGTGCGTGACAAGGAGTAGGGTCGCCTATCCAAACTCGTGGGTTTTCTCCGGGTCCTTCGGTTTCTTCCTCCCTCTGCTATACTCGCCTACGCGGAAGCGAATTATTGAAATAAAAATTAACGATATGTTACTCCCGAAATGACCTAGTCTGTGTCGCGTGGACGTTAAACCCCATTTTTTTTTCTCTCTCTGTTACCTTTATCCGACACTATTAAATGATTTCACAAACGCCAACATGGGTGACAAAACAAAATTTGAAATATAAATATTTTCTTCTTTTTTTGCATTTGACATAAAAATATGTGATCTAGTATGAAAACTGCTACACACAGCATTGTATATCATGCAATCTAATGTAAACGTGTACGACATGTCACTGGACCTACACCCCCCCCCTCCTCCATAGCGTAGAAGTCCCACTGTGGTCCCAACGGGTCGAAAATTGTCCGAAATCTATGTCTGAACTGCTAAAGACCCCCCTCCCTCTCTCTGTCTGTCTGTCTCCCTCTCTCTCTCTCTCTCTCTCTCTATCTCTCTCTCTGGTACAATCAGGTACAATCAGGTACAGTCAGGTACTTGCCATACAATTAATCTCTCTCTGTCTCTATCTCTGTCTGTCTCTGTCTCTATCTCTGTCTGTCTCTGTCTCTATCTCTGTCTGTCTCTGTCTCTATCTCTGTCTGTCTCTGTCTCTATCTCTGTCTGTCTCTGTCTCTATCTCTGTCTGTCTCTGTCTCTATCTCTGTCTGTCTCTGTCTGTCTCTGTCTCTATGTCTCTCTCTTTTTCTCTCCTTGCCCCCCCCCCTCTCTCTGTCTCCCTTCCTCTGTCTCCCTCTCCCTCTCCCTCTCTCTCTCCAAGAACTATTATGTTTTTTATTTATTTATATGGATTTGTTTGTAGGCTATAGTGATTTAAGAATCTATTAAATTTTATTTTCCAGGTGGATTAGTCTGTATAGTAATATGGGAATCTATTTATTTTATATTCCAGGTGGACTAGTCTGTATAGCGATGAGAGAAGAATATTTATCATATGTAGAGGATTATAAAAATAAATTAGAACCGCTGATGTCCCAACTGGAAAATGAAGGAAAATGGCGGCGATTGTCACGAGAAGTCATTCCGAATTATTCGTTCAATAAAAACGGAATTGTATTCAAATATGAAAAGTGTAAACATTAAATAAATGTAATTTTATTATTGTTATTATTATTTTATAATGACGTTTTATATATTACTGTACTTAAAACCCACCTGCTGTGATATGATCGATACAGAAATATCATTCAATCTACAATATTGTAAAAAGTTGAATTGATAATATGAATACCTGTCTAAAACTTAATTTATTACCTTCATTATTTAAAGGGATGTTGGATGGCTGAATGGTTAGCGCTTGAGCGTTGCATCAAAAGGTCTGTCATTGAATCAACTGGCGTGTGATAAGGAGTGGTGTCGTCTGTGCAGCCTCGTGGGTTTTCTTCGGGTCCTCCGGTTTCCTCCCACTGCTACAGACCCCTACGCGCAAGCGAATTATTGAAATAAAATTAAACCATATGTTAGTCCCGAAATAACCTAGTCTGTGTCGAGTGGACCTTAAATCCCATTTCGCCCCTCCCTCCCCCTCTCTCTCTCTCTCTCTCGCCACCTCTTCCTCTCATTAATTAACACGATATGACGAAGCGTAATTCAATCGATCTACTCTTGTGCAATGTAATCGTTCGGATGGGACGTAGAATCGAGGTCTCGTGTACATATTGACGTTCACGTAAAAGATCCCTTGGAAGTTGGTATTCCATATAAGAGTAGGCGACGGCGCCGCCGTCTTGGCCAACTTCCCCTCCTGGCACACAGTATGGCGAATGTCCGGTTTCATTAGCCCTGTTGGAGCAGAACAGTGGGACGTTAAACCACAGGGTCACGTGGATAATTTTAAAACGTCATCGTAGACTCGATTGTCTACCTGGTTGACGGAATCTAGAGTAGTGAACTTTGACCCCAATTATTTAATTCCGACCGTTTCTCACTTTGGTGTTATTATATCGACTGAAAGAGAATCGGATTCAGACCACATGGTCCTAACAGACTTTAAACATTACACTTAGTCACATAGCTTTATAGGCCTAATGCTATTTTTGAAAAAGATTCCACATTATAGGTGCTTGTGCGTCAAACTCCATTTCATTTTATATTTCTGTTGCAATGACGTGTTCAGCCTATATGCTAATACGCGTATCCTCACCATCCGGATTTTCCGTCATCTAATTCCAACTGCGATGGGGTTTTTTTTACCTCAAATCCGATGAGCAGATTTTTCTTTCTCTAAAGTGCGTGATTATGAATGTGCCAGGGTATAACTGATAGATTCAAAGAGCCATAGAAACATACATTTCAGTAATGTATAATGCGATAACTGGACATTCGTTTAATGACCAGTATTTTGATATTTTAAACATCCCCCCCCCCACACACACACAACCTCTCTCTAAATTTTAGTACAGGCTAATTAATTAACTTTAATCCATTCAAAAATAAATATATATGCATCGTGCCCAACCAATAATGAATGTACGTAAAGACAGGAATGAGTATACATGATCGCGCGTTTTACCGAAATGTAACATGATATCTGGAAATTCGTATTATGACCCGTATTTTAATAATTCATACCCTCCCCCCCCCCCCCGCCCCGACCTACGTAATCATGGTAATATAGTTTAGCACCATCCAAATTTAATCGGGAGCAACGGTGGCTAGTTGGTTAAAATAAAGCCCTAAAATAGATCGTATCTATAAACAGTCCTACCTAATGTTAAAGAATAATCCTATTAATCCTATAATTCACCGTTGCCAGTTTAGAAATTGGCAAAAATATCATTTTCAACTTCAAATTCAAAAGATTGAAGATAGCTATTCCATGGTGGGAAATAGGAAAACAAGGGAGGTAATTGGGGGGTAATTTTGTTAATATTTCCGGTGTGAAGATTTTTAAGTGTGAGAAAGATAACCTATGATCGTATAATAGTGAGTTGACAACCTATTGAGCAAAAGACATAGAAATAATAATGTTTTGACTTTCTTAAAAAATATGAAATTGTAACTTTAATGAGTCACGTGATATCCTACATTTGCATATATTTTTATTAAAAATCCGATTGCATATTGAATAATGAGTAGCAAAAGAAGTGATTGTAAAATAGGATTTATTCAGGTCTATGGCAGTGTAGTCGATTAATAAGACATCAGTTTTCAAATCAGTTTTTATTGATTCGAATATTGCGCAGCTGTTGTATGAACGACTATATTGCAGTTACCCCATTGGGTGTTGCAATAGCTTAAATACCTTAACATTTGTGCCGAGACTTGAAATAAGTGTTCACCGAGAGTTGTTGCTATTTCAAATACATTAATTAACAATGAAGTTGTCTTTATTGGATTGCTCTAAATGTATTTCACAACGACACATAGACGGTAAGATTTTAAATGGCTTTTACTTTCGGTTATTTTTGATTTAAATTGTTTCAAAATATTATTTCTTTACTTTCATAAACAATATATTTTCGAATTCTTGTTGTGAAAAATACTTTGTACTAGTAAAATACAAAAAAAATGTTTGTAGATTGTTATAGTAAACAGTGAAGAGAGCCCAAGAAGAAATATTAAATCTTAGTCAGAATAGCAATTCACCAATGTCCGCATTGATATCTCACTAATCTTTTAATATTTAATAGTAGCCACGGTGGTTCAGTACGTAAAAGATCCCTTGACAGTTGGAATTCGACACAAGAGTATGACGTAGTGTCGCTGACCGGGTAAAATTTCCCCCATAGCACACTGTATGAAGAAGATCAGTAGAACGTTAAACCCTATTTCATTTTATTTTCATTTCGTATACTTAAAGGAGCTAAGTCGCTAATGTTTGGGACCTAGAAATGGACACAAATGGGTCGTAACGCATACAATAATGTAATATGAATGTATATTAATTGATTTATATTCAATCTTTTCTATTTTTACTGTAATTTCTAATCAGTTAGGTTCGGCGACATAGTTTTTATTGGGCATGCTCTCCAGATAAGAATAAAGCGTCACCGTTTAAAATGACTAGTGGAATATGCCTAGCCACGTTTTTCAAGTCCCTTATTACAAATAGCGCTGAAACGCATTATGGTACACGATTCGTGTTCCAATTGTAAAATGTCTATTTTGTCTTAAATATTGGATACCAGAAGGCCATCTTTTACCGGTAAGATCACAACATCAATGTTGATTTAAACTGACAAATAAATCGTGTTTTCAATGTCGAAGATTTTGGATGATACTGAGTTACAGACTTCGCTACTTTAATGTAACGATAACGTAATTACAGTTAACACGCGTTCTTGCTATGACCATACCACCTTCTATATTTAAACGCAACATTTCTTATCAAATATTATTATATAATTATTTTAATCATAAGCTTGTATATATGTTCCATATTCTACTGTCACTATCTCGTTATTGTGACCGTTAACCAGTTTTTTGGATACTCGTTTATTAAAAGTGTAAATTGAACTATTTTATCTGATTTATCGACATTAGTGCTGGAATTAGCAACAGTCCCAGAAAACAGCACCACGACAACTTTATCTGTTTTATATTTTAATTTCAGCTGCTTGTTTCGTCTAAAGAAAATGATCAGTAAATACAAGGTGGGTAGACAAAACAAATTTATATTTTAGTTTGGAACCCATTTATATATTCGAAGCCTTACCTAGGGGTCCCGTCTTCGATTCTTACGTTGGACGGGGTAGTTCATCGGGATTTTTCGGTGTGCCGCCCCCACCCCTCTTGTCAGTGGTATAAAACGTTTGGCCTGTCAAGGGAAAACGTATAGTCGTTCGGGTGAGACAAAAAAACGAGGTCCCGTGTACAATTGGTATGCACATAAAAGAACCTTTGGCAGTCGCAATTCGATATAAGAGTAGGCTGTAGTGCCGCAATATCTCTCTCACGTGGCTTATGTCGTGTTCATTAGCCTTATAGTCTACGTTTGAAGGGGGTGGGGATGTAGACAAAACCTACCAGAGTATACCGGGTGTGACTTCTATGGATCCCGTGCTTTCTCTATTGCTGCACCCACTCTTTGGAATGACCTACCACCCAACATTCGCACAATAGACACTTTAACTTCTTTTAAAAGGGCCCTAAAGACCTTACCATTTAAAGAATATTACTCAGTAAATTTTTAACTTTTTAGTATTTTATTCAATGTTGTAAATCATTTTATTTAAATCTCTTATATTGTAGTACTTGTACATACTTTTATAATGTTATTTATATGTCTTATCTTGTATATTTTTGCATTTTATTTGTATTTTACTCTGTAAAGTCCATCGAAATGTATATGTGATTGTCTATAATCAATAAATATATATATATTATAAAAATGATATATAGTCGGAGCTGAACAATAGGACAATAAACCCACTGTCATTTCGTATATATGAAAATAAAGTTAACATTGGCGTGATGTAAACGAACCCTTGTCAGTTTGGATTTCATTTTTTATTTTTTTTTGTATATATACCTCGTAAAAATAGAGTTAACTTATGACTGATTCTGCGGAAGTCTGAGCAGTAGTACAATCTGATTAACATACAGAGGCCTTATTCACGAAAAATTAAATTCCTTAAAATCGATTTTAAGAGATGTAAGCTGTTATAAATGTCATCTTTATGTTTTTCAGTTAATGATTGGAATCCTTTTAACTCCCTCTCTTATCATAATTTACCAATTATATTATGGATCACTATTTGCTAGAGAGCCAAGATTATCCGTTGACGGATTAACGGATAAGTACTTTGTTTATTCCTGTAGACGAGGAATGATGTGTGGAGGATGGGGAGATAGACAGAAGGGTATCATAGCCGTATATTTGATGGCAAATGCCACAAACAGTAAATTCGGGATTGAAATAGAAAAACCATGTGACTTTACTTCAGCCCTTCAACCTAAATCTTTTAACTGGATTTTAAACAAGGATAAGTTTATAAACAGATCAAGTGAAAGAAGAGAAATTATAGACGGTCAGGGAAGGGAATTAAGAGATAAGTTCACAAAAGACAATATAACTGAACATTTCCCACAAGACGTTTCATACCTGACAATTAATAGTAAATTTAGCCATTATATCCGACAGAATAAATTATACAGCCAAAATCTTGCCTGGCTGAAACGCTTGAGTATGGCAGAAACCTTTGCCACAATATGGCGAGATATCATGGAGCTCTCACCGGAATTACAAAAACGGTACCAGCAGTTTGTGGAAACAAGAGTGGCTGGTAAGAAATTAATCTGTGCCCAAATACGAATAGGTCGAGATCCGAATAATGCGGATTTTCGCGATGATTTCCCGGTAATGGATCTTGCTAAGATCTCCCAGGTATGGAATCTATTCCAGAAATATAACGACCCCGAGAAATACAGAATATTTCTAACTACGGATAACCAACAAGTCCGAACAGAGGCAACAAAACTTTTTCCTGAGATGTTCATAGAAACCGATGGTCCTATTGGACATGTTGATAAAGGACCGGAAACGGACAAAACGTGTGATGCCTTCAAGAAGGTGATTTTAGATCAACATATTTTAAGTACATGTGATGTTCTGGTAACCAGTTATAGCGGTATCGGGCGACATGCTGCTTATGTGCGAAGAAAGGAAACTTATTTATATTGTTTTTTAAAGGACAGAGATCTTAGTCCGTGTAACTTCAATAGTAGTTTGTTTCAACCGAGTAATTGGTAATCAAAATAATAAATACAATAATCTCGACACCACAAATTATATTCAGGGACACTTATGCCCGTTTTCATTTAGCACAGTCAATGCAAAAATGTTGGACGTTAAACCCCATTCGATTACAGGTTTAATGGGATTAGGTGACCGAATGGGCTAACACGTGCGCTTTAGAATAGAAGATGTGCCATTGAATTTGAATTCGACCCCACACTTGGACTTGGCACGGAGTATATGGCCGCATGCTCAGCTTCGTGGGTTTTCTTGGGGTTCTCCGGTTTACCCTCACTGTTCAAAAACCCTACAGAGAAACTAAAAACCGAAATAAAAATGTTTCGTATGTAACTGAAATATAAATGTTTCGTATCAGTGCTGAAATAACCTATTTACATCCGGGTATTGCTAACTGATATAATTTATTCTCAAGCATTATTCAACTGTAAGATAACATATGTTTATTGATTCATCATAAACAGATATTTACATTATCTGTAGGCATTGAACATAATAATAAACAATACGTTTAATATTTATATATAATAGATTATATTGATTTACACATTTAATAAATATTATTATATACATTTGCATATTGTATTGTCACATCTGGTCCTGACAAATTAAGGAGGGCATCAGACATACACCTCGTGCGTTAAGCTTATTTTCATGATGGTTCCGGAACATGCCATGACCACGTGCCAAACGGCAGACCCCTCTTTATTAGCCCAGTCGCAGCAGAACAGTAAAACATTAAACCTTCTTTATTTCATTTCATTTCAAATTACAGACATTAACATACATGTATATGAAAAATTACTTGTCCGCATGTTTAAATGGGCTTCCGGTGTGGGTTCCCCATGTCAGTGGGAACGGACGGTGGGCCTAACAAAGAAAGTTGTCTAGTTATTCGGATGGAACCAAAAACCGAGATCCCGCGTACATATTGGCAGTGGGAATTCGCTATAAGCGTAGGGCGTAGAGTCGCCATCCGGACGAAATTTCCCTCATAGCACACTGTGTGACGTATGCCCTACTTCGTTAGCCCACACGGAGAACTTCCAAAGCTTCAGACAAGAATAGTGAAAATTATGTTTTACCCCGAGATCCAACATTGGTTACATTTAAAAGAGCTAAATCGCTATCCTTTGGCACCTAGAAATGGAAGACAGAAATGGGTCGCAATAAACTAATATGAAAGTATATAAACTGATTTACATTTCACTCGTTTCTGTTTTACCGTAATTTCTAATCGGTTATGTTCTGCGAAAAACACGAAGAGTCCGAATTGAATTGGAGCCTTTGGCGTCTAGTTATTCCAGTCTACACCGATAGCCATCTCCTATGTGGTATGTTTGATCTCATTCATCGAGTCGCTTCATTACAAATGGCACCAGAAAACATTCTGGCACGCGATTCGTATGCCAATAGTTAACATGTTCAATTGTCTGAAATATTGGATATCAGAAACCAATTTTTTTTTCACTGTAAGATAACGACATCAATGTTGATTTAAATTGACCAATAAATTGTGTTTGCAATGTCGGAGACTGTGTAGCACTAGCACTAGTCGCGGGTTAGATATGGAAACTGAAAACTGAAAACTGAAAAGTCCCCACATCCAACGTGTGACGCATTCTCTCTTCTGCTACATATTTTAATAGCCTTGTGATCCTCTTGTATTTGTAATTCTCTTCTCTCGATTCCTTTTCACGCTGTGTATTTTCTTCTTACTATCCCAATAGTTAAGTAAATGAAATGAAATGAAATGAAATGGCGGCGGCTTAACGTCCTACTGTTCTGCTCCTAACCGGGGCTAATGAAGACGGGCATATGCCATACAGTGTGCTATGAGGGAAATTTTGTCCGGACAGACCAGTAGGTAAGCGTTTGTCTTACCAGGAAAAACAACGCAACAGTTCAGTACTACATTTTAATGTCACGCTGGATACATTTGGTTACTATGCATAATAGATCACATTAGAATACTTAAAATTAACATCTTCCTCTCAACCTCAACTCCTTTAAAAGTCTAACCAGTATGGCTAGACTCAAGAAACCGCTACATCATACGGAACTCGCATGGTATCGATCCGGAACCCAATGACATCTGGCAGAGTCTCTTTTATAGGACCCATATGGACATCACACACAGATCAGACTATGAATTTGCTGATATGATTGGATGGTAAACCAAATGATGCAATAAGAATTGTCCAACACATGTGATGGCATGATATAATTGTAACCCATCAAAACATCAAGGTTATCGACATATGGAACATTTCATGTATCAAAGTATCATAGGTTTCTGTTATTCTCAATTTATCACACAACAATAATTTGATTCATACATGTACTAACATTGCAATTTGCAATTAACCAAAGCCGAATAGCAGATAATATATATTCCCGTAATCAAATAAATCAATATCTGTTAATATATAGCATATACCCCCTATCATTATTATTACAACTGTGGATGATATTAAGTTAGCTACTTGGCTCCTTAAAGTAACTAGATTTAGTAAAATATTTTTGATTATCACTTGTGAATGTTACTTTCTCTGTCCTAAAACTCGATTGGTGTTCTTATAGAAGTTGTTTTGGTATATGAAATAGGGATGGGTTTTGCTAATACTTTAGACACTATTTAATATTGACCCAGGTGTATAATTACCTGTTGCTATATAATATTCTCCCGCGTTTAATCTTGATGTTCATCGACATTTTCCAGCCTTGTGTGTTGGCCTTGAAAGTGGCCCATTGTAGAGAACCTTGTAGCGCTACGGGAATGTGTAGTGGTGTGTTCTCTTTAAATACCCTAAGGCCTATAACTGTCTAGACGTCATGAATATGTATAACTGGTGCACGCGCGCAACCGGGTACTGTGTTGGCCTTGAACGTGGCCCTTTGTCGAGAACTTTGTAGCGCTGCGGGAAAGATTCTGGAATAGGTCGTAGCGCCGATTTTGGGGTAAAATATGTACGATTGGTACTGAATAGCAGAACGTTAAAGCGGTACTTAACAGATGGTAACGGAAGGTTGCGGAAAGCTGAATAAATCAATATCTTACTTCATACAAAGACTCTGTATGTTTAACGCGGGCATGGTCGACGACATAATACACCCATACTGAAGTTATTTTAAATTTTATTTCAATCGTTTCTGTCCTAACAAACTTTCACCTGATACTTGCCCCTCTTTTTACGGATTTATTTCTGCACTGCCGTCTATCTCCTGCGTACTGACCTGACAAGGACAGCTGTCTAGTCGTTCGGATGGGACGAAAAACCGAGGTCCCGTGTACACATTGGCGTGCACGTAAAAGATCCCTTGGCAGTTGGAATTCGATATAAGAGTAGGCCGTAGTGCCGCTGCCCGGGCAAAAATTTCCCTCATAGCACACTGTATGGCGTTTTCCCCGTCTTCATTAGCCCAGTTTAGGAGCAAAACAGTAGAACGTTAAACTCCAGTTCATTTCATTTCATTTCCTGCGTGGTTAACACTCCCGAGCTAACAAATTATCTTGAGCTATGTAATTTAGAGTAATTTCGTGGCTAGAGACAATGTGTTGACACATAGATATTTACCATCCAGATTTAAATCTGTTTTTAAATTAATTTATTGGCGGCATTAATGTGGCTGTTAATATTATTACAAGATATCGTAGACCTTGGTATTGATTTGTCTTTACGTCGTTCGTTTGTTAGTGTGAGTTAACACCCGCTTACATCAATCATGAATTTAAAGACAAACATACGCTGGTCACGGTGGCTAAGTGGGTAAGACGCTGGCTCGCTAGCCTGGAGGTCTGGTGTTCGATCCCTGCATTGGCCGAGAAAGTTCATCCAGATTTTCCCGTGTATATGATCCATGTATATAGACAAATGATCCGTAGCCAAAAGTCATCGAGTTATACATTTTAACAGTTAATAAACACTGTGAACTGTAGAGATCTAGCTGGGGAGTATATACTCCCCGCAGTGTTTCGTTTGATTAGAGCTAATCCCACTAAACACTGCTTTAATGGAAGCAAATTTCTGTTACAAATTATGACTGGTCAATAGTCCGATTCACAACCAATAGCTAACTGCGTAACAATTTGATTACGCTTTAAACATAGCTCCACATTGGATCAAATATGTTTACATAACGTTACGTCATGACTCACGATTTTATTATTCCCAATTAACCAGTGCATGGCAGAATATTGCAGAGAAAACTAACTGCGTGACAAACGGGGCTATCAACATTGATACAATGTAAAGAATACTGTATGGAGACGAACAAGACTTTCACCGTTTTTAATACCTTAAATCACTGTCCAAAGTTTTAGGGAAGACCCCAGATTAAACGAAGGGCTACCATGTTGATGTACTTGGGATAGACTTGATTGAACGGGAAGAATAGACAAACTCCCTCAAAAGCTCAAGTATCAGAAGCCAATCCAACAATGGGCAGAGAGGGATTTCTCAGGCCATTGCTTCAGGAATATGACTGGAGAGTATTATTTATAAATAGTATTACATAAGTACTCTGGTGCTGTGCCATGTATGTACTGATCAATTAGTAGGGTGACCCACCATAAATAAATATCTCCATATATCTCGACAATTTCGCCACAATATTTATATATATGCCAAGCCTCAAATCAGTTTCACACAATTATAGTCACTAAATAAACGATCATGTTGTACTTAATAAGCTATGACCATTAATCATCTATAAATAATAGACTGAAAACTGGTTCCATGTGTCGTCCATAACATCCAGACACTCTTGAGTAAAAAATAGGTTACGTGCCCTTGTTTTGAAATTAGTCTCGCTTAACCAGTCTATCGACCATTCAAGGGCTGATTGACATGTCGGGATAATCAAGACTACTTTTTTACGAAACATAACAGAAAGCTAGAACAAGAAATTGAATTTAGACATGAGCACGTTAGCTAGCTCAACAATTGTTTTAAGAAGCTTGTAAAAGTAAAATGAAACTACTGCTAGTATCATGTTCCTGTCTAACCCGAGTGCTTCAGAGATATTATTTGTACTAAACCAAAAGATGCTGCTCTGAACGGTACAGTTAATGATAAAGCGATTTAAAAAATGAAACGAACGTAATTTCTAAATCTGCTGTAATAACCAAGAAGCTTAATTTTACTGCTATTCAAAATCGTCAACAATAAATTTTTTACGGCTGTAATAGTTGATAGATTTGTAGAGAATTGCACGTGCCATGGCTATTTATAGTATCATACTGTCAGAAAGTTGGCCTCGACACGGCGAATGTGCACGCTTCAGTGGTAGTCTCGAACTATCAGCGGTTGACTGTATTTCTGTAGGTGCATGGGCCACCCTACAATTAGGGTTATGATATTAATTATTTAAACATAATATGTCTATCGATACAGTTGGAATTATAAGTATGGTTGTTATATAAAGGAGTATTCACTTCACTCTATTCTATTCAACAATAATTAAACTAACTTTGTACCGAATATCGTTTTAATTTACTTTGAATCAATGCCCCTAATATCTATTTCCAGTAAGTTATCAGTGCTGTTCTCCTAATGCAGAACGCTTGTCCCGTCATGTGCAACACAATACTAACTAATTACAAGTATCGTTTAGTGTACAAGCATCCAAACTATAGAATGTCTATCCTTAATAATAATTACATATAAATTATGTTGAAATATTTCAAATCGTTAGACTTTCATTTAAATTTATTGCAAATCTGAAGACTTTTTTTGTACATTGACACGCTAATTAAAAATACCCAATTAAAAGCTGGTTCAATAAAAAAAATTGTGTCGCGATAGAACCATATTAATCTCATATTAAACCGGAGGATCAGGAGAAAACCCATGGGGCTGAACAGGTGACCGTACTCCTTGCCATGTACAAGCGCAAATTGAAACCACGCCACTTGACTCAATGACAGACCTTATGATCTAACGCGCACGGGTTAACCACTCTACCACTAAACTCCACTTGGGACAAAACAACCTTTTTCGATTTTAAGTAGAGACCAACTTTGCATTGCTTTGATTTCAATATTATCAAAAAAAAACCATATGAGTTAGGCATTAAATATTATGTGTAGGCTGTCTGAACTGCCGGGATGTTGGGTTGTCGGGTTGTCGCCTTATGAAGGGCGACACCAAGACATGATACCAATCAGCCACCATAGATTGCTGTCTAAACTATCGTAAATTTTAAACGGATTTCTTCGATTATTAACAAACTACTTTGGTTATTATAGACGTAATTCTGTGTTTGAAATCAACTAACGTTAAATAAAATCCACTGTACAATTAAATAGTCCAACGAATAAAAAAGTCCTCTTTTGAAAAACTTGATCTATTTACGTGTATTTGCGACTGAGTGCAAGGCAACATAGATTTGGTCACCTGTTGCTGCGGGTGGTTTAACTGTAACGGCGAGGTTGAAGACCACGTGTTGCAATCAAAACAAAGTGCCGTCGGTGATTGGAGGGGCAAAGCTGGGGCAAAGTCCAAGGTTAAGGCGGCAAATGCACGAACTTCAACTAGGGGTAGGGCTCCCCCAGAAAATTTTGAAAAACAGGTTGCCGGAAATGCAGCCTGGCAGTATTTTAGACACTGGTCGTTGAGGTAAAGTGTCAAACAAACGGACTTGCGAATCTCGACGAAGCCCACCCACGAGCGTCAAAGTAGGGAGTCCTTACGGAGGGTATGGGGGACCTCCCCCAGAAAATTTTGAAAAATAGACTGCCGGAAATGCTGTCCGACAGTATTCAGTCAGGTACCTATCGTCGGGATAAATAGATACCGTCCGTCGCATGGTTACTAGTTTATCCAACCAGAGAACAAAATGTCAAACGAACAGACTTGCGAACCTCAACGAATTCCCCTTGTGAGCGCCAAAGTAGCGAGTCCATTTGGGACCTCCCCAAGAAATTTTGGAAAATAGACTGTCGGAAATGCTCTACAACATGCAAGTTTATGGCTGAGTGGGGATGTGGTATTTATTCACCGTAGAAGGTATTGATTACCGAAACGTATCACCAATACTTTTTTTTATTTTCTAAAATTATTGGGGGATGGGGGGAGGGGCAAACAGAGGGCAGACCGTTGGCGCCGCCACTGGTTTGGGTTAGGCAACGACAAATATCAACTGAAGGCAGTTACACAGGATATTTATATTGAAACCATTGATCGCCAGTCAACCAAATTGCATTCACAATAAAAATATCACTGATTGCATTTATACTCGTAAAAATAAAGCCATATATAAACAATATATTCATGGGTAATATTTAAGGCCCGTAAAACGAACGGCATTGCTTTTGTGTCGAATTCTCCCATCCGCCTGTTATATATTTCTAAAGCTTAGCTATAAACTTTGCAGAGATTTTGCTAGAATGTAAAAGATGGTAACAAAATAAAGGAATCCGGACATTTATGTCTGTGAACGCCCAAACTCAATACCGAGCGGAGACACTTGTACAGTACTTGCATT